GTCGGAGGGGGTGGAGTTGACCGAACCCCCGGATGGCGGAATGAGTGAAAGTAACTGGGTATGTTTTAGCTCCGAGGCTTTCGCGTAAAACGTATCTCTCTCTCTCTCTCTCTCAATCATTTTGTCATTTATTTCACTGTTGTTTCCTTTGCAGACAGATCGCTCGTTCGTCCGACAGGGAAACATCAGTCAATTAATTTTCCAGGAAAAATTGCAAATTACAATCGATCGATCGTTTGGCCTTGAAGAGTTCTTCCACTGCGGGGATGAGAGACGCCAAATATCTCCTCGAATGTACGTGGTATGTATAATGGGAAGGCAAGTAGACCACGTGGGTTAGTGGCGCGCGCTTGCGCCTCGCTCTCGTACGGCCGGGTTTGTTCCTTCAGGATCGCTGGAGAAGAAAGGTGGAGGACAACGGTCGCGGGGCTGGGTAGGGGACAGATGGTCGCACGAGGTTGGACGAAAGGGCCAGGCACACGCCAGTCGAAAAAGGGTGCGACCTTCGTTGGCCTCGGCCAGCCCTCGGGGAGACCGCGCCCACGCATTTTCAGCAGGATCGCAGCACGTGGATGGAGCTCGTTTGGCCTTGGAAGCTCTCCACTCGAGTCGCTACACCTCCTGGTCCCACTGAAGGGCCGCCAAGGGCCGAAGAAGCTATCCCCACCAGATGCTCTTCGAATATTTCGTGTATCTGCGTTTGCTGCCCAGTCCTTCTCCTTCTTTCTTTTCTCCCACGACGAATAAATGCTCCATAGTGTACTACTTGATGATGATGAGGACACGTTAATTGGTCACCTTGGAATTTCTTGTCTTCCAAACGAAGAAGGTTTCTGTCGGAATCCACCAATGGTTTACCCGAAGTAGAGAAATCCAACAGAAGGTACGTTTTCGTTGCACTCTTCGTTAATTCGAGTCGATTTGGTAGAAAATGCCAGACGACAGATTCAGGCCTCTCTCGTTCTCGTTCTTCACTCTACTCTAGCTGTTTCACTCGCGGTGTACTGAAATATTACTCTGTCGTATACGTGTACTCATTCTCTCGCGCTTTTTCTTCAACGAGATACATCTACGCATTTTGAACAGGATCTCATCAGACGTCGCTAGGTGAAGTATAAGATTGTCAGAATCATATGTGTTTCGAAGGATTCCAAGCAGGCTCGTACGGTACGCAAGAATTGTTAGAAATGTATCAGCGCCGTGTGAAATGCCACGAGTCTGAGCGAGCTTCTCAATTAAAAAGTTCACGTGGCAAATATATGCAAAAGATTGATTCATCTCTCTTTAAAAGTTTGTGCTTAAAAATCGTTTGTGCTCTAGTGAATTATTATCGAGACAATTAGTGAGAGATTCACTCCTGTGAAATTTCCCCTTAGATACGCCCAATAATCGTACGGTAACAGTATCCGACCGGCACATACTCGTAATTGGCGACTGGCAATGGCCGTTGGGGTGTTACCATGGTGAAATACCGAACTCCATGAAAATATGACGACTACGCCATAACCTGAAGCTCTTGGGCATCCTGCTTTCCTATCTTACGATATATGAAAGATATGAATTCGCCTATCTACATTAAATATCGCCGCCACGCAACAACATTCTTCATCCTTCCCTTCAAGTTACGCGAAACACATGCACAAGTCTAGCTATCTCTTTCCTATCTGTCCTCTATGTTTCTCGTGTGTCGATACAAACATTACGACAAATTACAGTCGAGACTTGAGTCTAATTTCTAAAACTTTTCCTTCTTAAGTTGCAATAACTTGTATCCGACGAATAATAATCCGAGGTACTTGTCGTTAGTTTGATATTATTGAAGCGTCGATCGCACGGAGCGAGAAAAAGTTTTGAATGTGTTGGCTCGGAGTACATATGTAGTACGTTCAACAGCCTACTCTTGTTCTGCTTCGCGGCAATATGTGCCTCTGATTCGCCAGTTTCCCGCCAGGACACCTCCTCGCCTGCTTTATTTCCCTGTTACCTCGATGTAACGGAGTTGTTTACACTGCGCATGTAATATGGCACCAAACACGCTTCTCTGTTCTGTCCTCGTGTCACTGGCCAATTCTCACGGCCTACCTCCTCACGGCTGATTTCGTTACGGAATTTTCTTTTTCCCTGTTGTGCAAGTTGTAACAACCGCTTACAACTTGTATATCTATGTTATACGCAGAACGTAACTTACAGGTCCATAGGAATCACGTCACTCGGATCCGATTTTCACGTGACCAAAATAAATGCCCCAAATATTCCCCTGTTAATTAAATAATCAACGTGTCACTGGAGATATAAACGTCGCATCACGACCTTATAAACAGTATCGCGACGTTAAATTGAGTTAAGCGAGTCGTTACATCCTCCGTTCGCCCGTTCGAGGGTTTCGAGATACCAGAATTGAGGAGAAAGTCGAATCGTTCTCGATACATCCAGAATCAGGGGTACATGTTTCGTAGCTATTGTTTCGAATCTCGTGATTGGGTGTTTTCGCGTCGTGGTCACGTGAACGGGGAAAAGAAAGGGAGAAAAGGCAGCATCAAGAGCAAATCACGATACGGTTGGTAGCAGGATCGCAGGAATACGCGGAGGGGACATTCTCGTTTCTTGTCCGAGCGGAACACGTAAATATACATAATACGTACATAATCGAGTGGTTAACCTGACGTCTAACCTCACTTATTTCCCCTCGTTTCAAAGAATACGTTCCACGAGACTTTGTCTCCTCTCGACGAACCTTCATCTATGTCTTTCTTAAAATTTACGCGATTTGTTTCTTTATTATAAAGACGGATAATGGTTGATAATGTTAATTACAGAAACAGTTGACTGTCGCGCGGCAGAAGATTTTTTTTTTTTAGGCCGAGTATCGTGCCTGAGTGACTCGTGGATGTTTATGGGAGGAATTTCAAGCGGGAGGTTCCAGTTTCCTTTATGGAAGGAAGGAAAGAGAGGAGCTACATTGGCTCCTTGACCCCAAACCACCGAAACTCAGCGATGAGATATGAAAAAAATGAAAAGTGATATCCCTGTTAACAGGAGACTATGATGGCACCGGAGTTTCGCCCCGGAAACAGGTTGGTATTTGACTTTCTTTAAAACACGCCTAACCTGTTCACTCGTTCCTCGCCGCGTTACAATCAAAATTAGCAACAACAAATCTCACTTGCTTTCTGACGAAAGTTTGTATTCTCATTGTGAAATATATTTTTCCTAGTTTCACCTAGGAAAATTCTTGTTGTCAACTGATTGCAAGACAGTAAGTCCGTCAAATGATGGCCTGGTCAAATGATCCTTACAGTTTACAGTAACAAAATGTGAGCGTTTTTCGTTTGTTTTTCACAAACAGTACAAATTATTAACCAGACAAATTGGAGATTAATATTGGATAATATTCTATTCAGTTAAATCGCGAAACGTGATACTATACAAGAGAGGGGACTCAAGCTGCCTAATTACAAGTATGGAGAAGAGACTAGACTATAACGAAACTTCGAAGTCTTCACGAACGAAACGTTGCAAGTATCATCGTAATAACCGCAATTAGATCCGCTTCATTGAGTTCTAAATGCGGAGACTCTTTCACCAGGAACACAGACGACGTGAAGAGCCACGAAAGGATCCTCGGAAGTGGAAGGAGGAGCCACGAACGATGATCCTCCTGCGATTTCATCCTGCTATCCTGACCGCTGTCGCCGTCTTTCTTATTAATATGCTAATTTTACATGAGCATGGCATCAAATTATGAACGAGATGCTCTATACCGCGGAGCATTTCCCCGAAACAGCTTGACGGAAGATGCGCTTTCGATGTTGTCCAGGGTGTTTCAAGCTTACAGGCACGTGTAATACGAAACACCATTGACCAGGGTAGTATGGCAGTGCACAAAGTGCGCTCATCCCTTGTGAAATCTTATTCCTATCGTGTGTGTTCCCTTCTTTAGAAATTGTCGTCAATGGTCGTTGTCTTTATTTCGTAGATTTTTCCTTGTCGTTTTTAAATTATAAGTTAATAACATTCCATGCACTCTTGCGCCTTTAAATTTTGCATAAATGGTAGTCGCGAGATGTGACAGTGATTTTTTTTAACACAATGTATTTAAACATCGTGGAATTTTAGTCAAAGCTGGAACGGATCTTTAACGATTCTTGAACTTACTAACAACCAGTCGATTTTGCAATTTATTTGTCGTAACAACACTGTTGTTGAAATTCATGTCCCATTGAAAAGTTTAACGCTACCCAATACGGTCCCAATATTGAGAAATATTTTTACAATATATACTGTACATTAAAGTAGCAGAATACGAAAAAATTCTAATAGATAGAAGATGTATGTATGTTGAATGTGTTCGATAAAATAGGCTTCGTTATTCTAGAAGGGAAGTCGAGTTTGTCTCTGAAGACGATTCCAGGAGGAACAGGAATGCATCACATGCGTGGATCCGTATCGACTTGAGGATCAGCCCTTAAGTTGCCGGAGGATGGAAGGATTTGCCGCTTCAGTGGCTTTGAAAGAAACAGAAACGGTCGAGGGAATAGGAACGCAAAAGAAGAAGGAGCAACGGCCACGGTCAATTCCTCGAGAACGTTTTCTGTAATCCTGGATGTTACACAGATGGAAACAAAATGCTCGTGGGTGCCTGGCTTCCCTCTAAAGAATTTTTAAAGCGCGCGCCATTAAATGTCAATGCGACAGTGAGGTTAAGGTTGGTGGTTAAAATAACTATGCGTCGAATGATAACTTGATAAATTTTGGATTAAAAGATGAGAATGATCTCTGTTACTCAAGATGATGCTCTGTTTTGTGCAACGATTCTGTATCTTTGACAATGAAAGAAATCAATCCTGTAAAATTTCCTCGTTACAGGTTTGTGACCGAGTGTTGCATTGGCGGCCATTTGATACCAAACACAGTCTGCAAGACATCAGGAGATCATATAATGTACAAAGACTCTTTGGAACTGTGAGCTTTCAGAGAAACGTGCGTTTGCACACATTGGTGTGGATTTTACTACATTAATTTGACAACTGACTTGACAACTTCAATGATGGTCTAACGCCAGGATTATGTTATTTACAATTAGACTTTCAAAACAGTGTCTTGTGCCTGGTTTTACTGGAAAATGAATTTTATTCGTTGCTAGTAAAAATTCTTTTCCTTGAAATTAACGTTTTCACATTAAGCCTTTAAGTGTGGTCAATTTAACTTTATCTTTTTTTTTCTTTTAGCTTCTATTTCCATTGGAAACAAAGTGTACCTGAACAAAGTGTACAGAAACATGCACGGAGGAATTAGAAGTGAAATAGATCGTCATGTATTCCTAGTAAAACTAAAACTATACACGTAAACGTGAGAGAATATATATATAAACGATACAGAAACCAATGTTTTGCGAACCGTCTTCTAGTTAGGCTACTCTAGCAACTCTAGTAACTGCGCGAACTTCGAAACATTCGGCCTCACATGATCAGGAAAGTATGAAGATGAGAATTGGCGCGGATAGTTTACGATGCGAGTAACAGGAAACAAGTATGCGTTAGTTATGTTAATATAAGTTGAATGTTCATTAACCTCTGTTCGCGTGTTAAATAGGCTAGGAACGATGGAGAAAGGCTGTAGTCGAAGACAAATTCCAGAATTGAATGTCGAGGACAGAGAACGAATAAACAACCTTATAGGGATGTTAGAAGATGGCAGAAGGTCGAACGCATTTGCCTAGGCATTTCACGCGGCGAGGATATTGATTGTACGTGATATATACACAGTAAGGTAATAGATAGCTAAGCTTTAACGTCACAAAATTCAATCTCCAATTAGTCAAAATTATGTATTAAGAGATGCGTTAGTTTTTGACATGAAGAAAACCATGGTAGAGAAAAGAAATACTACTATATACTACAAATAAACGAGCATAGTGATAAAGTAGTAACAAGAATGACTTCCCATACTATGGATCAACTGAATGATTCAGAGGATGAGGAGCCATTAGTAGTTGCCCTCTTGAGTGGCAGTTTGCCGGGCCTCTTCGGCATGTAGCCTCTTCTTTCTTCGAGCGCAATGCCCGCTGAAACTTAAATCTAGGCTCGAGTTTTTTTAAATTGCAAAACAAAGAACAACTCGCAAGAGAGAGACTGTGCTAACCTGTCCGGTCCTACCTACTTATAATTAAAACAGACACACCAGAAAGTTTGCTACCTGCCTATCCAGCCGCCCGCTATATTTAAAAAAAATGACAAAAGACAGACACGCCAACACACTCGCTCCACGGTTCTCACACATACACCCGGGCGCAACCTAATCTAGAGAGAACGTCCCGGGACGTCTCCGACACCCGAGTTTGGCACGCAACATTCACACTCTAATTTACGTACCATTTCCCTGAAATCGACTGACGAAGGCTAATGACCATTGCGTAAAATGTGACAGAAATTTAATTTTAATTCAGTATATTTCAATTTCATTAATTTGCTATATTTAATATCTTATATCATACCGATAGTGCTTGTGAGATTTATTAATTATTCAAAATTGTGTTGCTACATTTAAATTACTTATATCATACCGATAGTGCTTGTGAGATTTATTAATTATTCAAAATTGTGTTGCCCGGAATAACGACGCAATTCTACAGCCTAATCACACACACACACAATGTAGAAAATACGTCGTGCACGATACACCAACGCATCGTCAGTCGCTGAGAAATTATTAAGTTTATAAACTATGGTCATCATGCCCATTGCCTTTCTCCCACTCAAGTAGCACGTGGGCACGTGAGTGAGATCCTGGTAATGAACATGGAAAGGATTAAATCTGAAAATCCTGAGCTAAAAAACTGATTAATTATGATATCTAACGGGCTAATATTCCTTTGTTCCAACTTTCAATGACTGTACTTTATAATTTACTTTAATAATTCAATACATTACTATGAAATGTTACACTCGAATGAAAAAGAAATTGGCAATAAATATTCAGTTCAAATAATATAATATTCAACAATCTGTGAGTTTGTGATTCTAAGTAGTAAAATATTAATAGAAATATTCTCAGGCGACTCCCTTATCAAAGCAGATCTTTGAAAATGCAAAAGTAACATTTAAAATTCATTCGTTGCTTTGACTCTGAAATCTGCCTGTCGCGAAACGTTCTCTTGCACGTGAAATTTAATACATCTTCAGAGAGATGAAGTGAATTTCATGTTTCAAATGAAAATTGTATTGAATGTAAAAGGAAAATAATTAGAATATTACAATATTTACAATATTAAGAGAACGTGACGTGCAAGAGAACCCATCCTGAGCTAATAAATAAAACACAGGAAGGAAAATGTTACTACTCACGGGTAAATACCCATGATCACTATGCTCGTCAAAAGTTTCTACGTAATACAACCAGTCATCCGTGTCGATTTGGACCTTTCATCCTACGACATGTTTGAATGACCAGAGGAACAAAAATACATGCGACTCACGGTTAGATGAACTCCATAGAAGAAATGAAGGTCAGGAAAAATCTGCAACGAAGTATAAAATATAATTTGTTCTTAAAGACGGTGTTAATTATTTGGAAAGTTTGAAATAACGAAATAACTGCCTGCTATTAAACATAACGTTTTAACGATAATATTCGATTCAGGAGTAGAAAGTTTGAACTTTCAATCACATTCCATTCTTAATTAATAACAATTAAAGCAAAATACAAGGAATAAAGTTGATTGGAATACAATATGTAAGGATTCTTACATGCTTAACCTCGAAGCATCGCACAGTCGTCTCCAGGAAACAGGAAAGGAAGAGGTGTAAAATACCTAAAACGTTGTAATTTGTTGTTAAAAATACATAATTGATTGTTGAATAAAAGTGAAAAGTATAAAAGTTGAGACTGTAGTAATTGCAAAGAACCAGGTGGAACGTTGTATATCAATATTAAAACTTTAAGATTTTATTTCAATAGAGCTAATTAAATAATTTAAGCAATACACAAAGAATGAAACAATTGAAGCGTAATTTATGAAAATTGACTTACATTTTCGAACTTTCGAAGAGGTTAAAACACTTTTATAAGCTTTTTGCCGTGCTTCCCGCTTAAAACCGACGCCTGTACGTTACAATACGTTACGATACGTACGTTACAATACGTAGATCGATTGCGAGAAATATCGAACACGTTCGAGAATCGCAGGAAGTGTATTACGCGTTTCGCCGCTGGCGCTGCAGTCTTTGCTCGGGCTAAAGTTGGCGCGGACGCGTTTCGCACGGAGTGACATTATTTAACTGAAAACAGAAGATAGAAAGAGCTTTCACCGTCTGTTAAGTAAGATATTTAACAAATTAATTTAACAAATTGTCCGTGATTTAATTTTTTTGAACTTTGGCACGTCCAAATTTCGAATCGTCCATACCAAGCCTTGATGATTCGACGAAGCTTGAATTCGATGAATTTAACTTACTCAACTTCGTAGTGTTAACAAAATAATGTTTCCTTTTTCATTTCTCAAGACAATCTCCATTATATCGGACGAATTTTTTTTTTCTGTTACAGATTCTGCTGTTCGAAATCCGTTGGAGTTAACCGTCAGTTAACGTATCGGAGTGAGGATGACGTAACCGACTTTATCGTTCGTCGAAGCGAATCACAGAGGGCGTCAAAGACACGCTGATTTCTGTTGAGGTCGGGAATTTCGGTACGTGAGAAAGTCTTACGTAATGTCGCGTATCTGTCTGTCGTTGATCAGTGATATTAAAGATATGCTCAAATGAGCAATAAACTTTCGTCGAGTGTGAACAAGAAAAAAAAAAAAGGTCGAAGTGGTTCGTAACCGTTCGTTGGTACAATTAACTTAACCGCCGCGTCGCATTGAAACTTCGAGGAGCGCCGGGAAGTGCCGCGAGGTGTCAGCAGCGTGTGCGATTGAGCCGCAGCAGAGAGAGAGTGCGATCTGTCTCGCGAAATGCCACGGCCCAAAAGTGGCAGCGCGTGTCTCCTGTCGCTGGTGACGGCGATTCGGCGTGTGTGAGCCGTGTGTACGATTCGTGTTCTTCTCCGAAATCCCCCCTTTCTCGTTCCCCTTGGACCGGCGATTCCGCGCCGCGGCGAGTTTCTCCCTTCCGGCGTATACGTGTGCGAATACGGGGACCGCGTGTGTGTCCGCATGAGAGCCCGTGGTCCGCATCGTTTCGAACGTTCACGTCGATCGAGGCGGTGACGGCGGCGAGTACAGCTAGCTTTCGGGCGCGGCGTTTCCACGATTCTCCGAATCATTCGGCAGGGACACGGGATAGTAAACAGTGGCACTCGAGGGACAGGTGTTTATCACCTCGAACCTACCGTACGGCGACAGAGAGGGAGAGAGAGAGAGAGAGGGGAGAGACAGAGGACAGAGACACTGCGGACACGCAGACGTTCGGGCGAAAGAAAAAGGTTATCGGACACGCGACGGAGACACGCAACGTGTGTTACGCGAATCGCCGCCAGGAAGGGACGCTCGATCCGCTCGTCGCGGTTATCTCTGGCTCCGTGTACGCGTTTCACGGTGGCCGCGGGTTTACGTCGCGCCGGGTGGAACGGTGATTCTTTTCCGCCGCCATATTTGTACCGCCGTCACATGCAACCTGTTGTTTTCGCTACGTCCTCGTGTCGTCGCTGAGATCGCCAGCCGGATATACACTCGGTGAACCGTGTGCGTACACGGGAACGCGGGAGTTCACTTAACCTAACATCAGCCCCGGGGAGAGAGAGAACCGTCAACGTGGCCATCTACCATCAGGATGAACGGGTGAGTTTGTGCACATGGGAATTATCGACGAGCCCGTACGCCGCTGTGTGCGTGCATTCGTCTACAGCGCTGCCACGTTAACTGGCCGAGTCGGGGGCCTATCTGGCCACTTATCGAGGGAGCAATGTAGCGACATATACGTACACATTTGCTTATTTTGTAGTCTGCAGTTTATTTGTATCGCGCAATCGATAATCTTGGTAAATTAATAAGTTACCAGCTCCTCTTTTGTTTATCATTTCACGGTAAATTTGCCGCCATTGTACGAGAGCGTTGATAAGTAACACATTGTAGGTTATAGATTTTAAACGTCAATTTCGTTTATTGCCGATTTTCTTGTTATCGTGCAACTGCACGAGTAAGTCGCGTAATTGCAGGTTACAATTTGACCATGAAGAGTATCAATTTCACATAAGGATAGTCAACTAGCTTCTATACAATTTCGGGAACTTGCTCGTGGAACTTTAGTTTTATTATCAAACTACTCTTATCTACATAGGTGTATTAACAGATTGTAAATTTACCGGTTATAGGCCTCTTATTTACAAATAGTATACTCGGTCGACTTGCATAAAGTTTTCAGTCAAGCTTATGTCATTATCAATATATACTTTGTATATATATATATATATATATATATATATATAAAAGGAAAGAAGGAAACCGAGTAAAATTTCACATATTACTCCAATCGTGCACGAGAGTTCAAGGAACTGGCGGTCAGTTAATAAAGCAACATACCGGCCAGTTAACGTGGCACTACTGTGGCTTGTGAATGTGTGCGTGGTATCGTGCACGGTCGTGGAAGAAAGGGAAAGGAAAGGGTGTAGCTGAGTGGATGAGGAAAGAGAGAGCGAGAGAGAAAGAAAGAATCGATCTGTGCGTCACGAAGAGAGAGAGGCGAACGACGTTGCGGAACCACGTTGGCGCGAGCGAGAGGGAAAGAGCGCGCGTCGCACGAGGCCGAGAGAGAGGAGAATACACGCGGCCAGTTGGAGCAGGCGCTCTTTCAAACTTCGCCTTTTCTTTTTTCCTCTGCCTCTTGCCGACGTTGTGCCCTTTTCTCTACGCTTTCGTTTGCCCCTCTCGCATGCATGTGCATACACGGTGTTCGAGAAAGTAAACGCGACACGCGCATTTAAAAGTAATACAGTAATTTAGAATAACGTCGAATTTCACTGCAATTCTTTTAAATTGGCATTCTTTGTAATTTACAATTGCAATTAATGATTTAAATTATATCACACTTGAGAGGAGAAAAATCTCACATCGTAGGGATTGGTGAGATATTCAGCTGTCAGCATAGATGGATGATGTGACATAAAGTAAGTTAAATGCAGTCGATTCTGTCGGTCATATTAGTTGATACGTTTGCACGTGATACGGAGCGTTCTCTGTGACTATCGTTTACTTTCTTTTAAACACACTCTGTACATACACATGTACACGTGCGCAACCAGACGTTACTCTCGCGGCTTTTCTGCTTCTGCGTGTCGTTGGCCACGTGATGCTGCTCGTCGAACCGGTGTCGCGTCGCGTGGTTCTCTCTTTCTCTCTCTCACTCTCTCTCGAAATAATGCACACATATACACATACATACACACACACACACACGTGTATACGCTCTTGAGACGCTTCTCGATGATCATTATTTTGTCATCGCGCCCGCTGGCTTCTCCTTTCTTCTTGCTCTCGCGCATACCCAACGAATTGATTAATTCTGGGTAACATACACGACGCTTTTGGGAAATGTTGATGTTTCGGGCGTGTTTTCTTGTACAGGGTACTCTTGGATAAATATACTGCCACAATCCTATGAAATAATTGATTTTCTGACGATTCTTGTAGCTAGGATTACAACTAATTGTACAAAATGGTAATTCATACCACATCCATCATTTGGCAGTTGTTATTTGTGTCACTGTTTTGTTAATCAATTTCCTTGAGTTTTGCGAATGAAATCTTTCCCCCCTACTTGTGCAAAAATTATAAGAAAATAACATTTATCTTTGACTATCCTGTACGAGATGATCAAACTTCACTTTTATCTGGAATCGGATTAACATAAACGTGTGTGATGTTTTATACATGTGTACGTATTTTAATGAATGTTGATAACGTAGTTAGTAGTCTTAGCGTAGCGTTATATATAATAACTATGTTACCGTATTTTCGAATTTAAAGTGCTATCGAGTGTAGCGGACAAATGCTCTTCTTGAATATTTGCATTTTACCACAAAGTCTCAATTTTATGGAGTAGTAATGGGCCTGTGTGTATGTGTTTTTTTTTTTTTTATCGTGGGTTGGGAACTATTAACAGCTTTTGCCACTTCACTCGTTATTATCTGAAGTGCAATTGAGGATATTCTAATAGGGGCTTTACACTAATCTTATCAGCTGTGCGCGTTTTATCAACTCTGACGGCTTACTAACTACATACGTGTTAGGCTGTGATTGTACCTTCATTCAATTGTGTAGATTAATATTCCGCATTCCTTTTCTTAACAATAAAAAACTCGATGTACGCTGCTATGTATTTGGATCCATTTTCTTTCGTATCGTTTCACCAAATTTCGCACGTTGAAAAATGTCCAGATATTTTTACCACCTAGTATGTACGATCGTTTAACGAGCATGTGGCAACATCGCGCTGGATTCGAGCGATCGACGGGAAGTTGAAATATTCAGGAGCCGCCGCGTTTCACGCGGGGTTAACTTTCCGGTCGGTATTCCGACGCACGCGGTAACTGCTCCGACGTTTCCACCCGAACAGGTGTGCTTTATCAACCCACGGTCACGTTAGAGCTACGAATTCGATAACCCTCGTTCCGACCTATCGTTGGTGGATAATTTTTTTCCTCCCCCAGGTGTACCATTTCGTCGCCACTAATAAACGCATCGATAACAACATGCAATATTTATTTACTTTTTTTTTTTTATCGAATCTGTCTTTCACTCGAAATTAGATGGAGAGTTGGACAAGTTAGTCAAAGATTGAGTTCTAAATATCCGC